GTTCAATTAATACTTATGGAAATGCTGGGAAGTCCAAGCAGTGCTGTAAAATAGTCCACAGGAAATGGTCCTAGTAGTACAGTAGGTAGAATATAAAGTCATAGATGTAGATTTGTTGTCCCAAAGTTGATATGTGGGAGAAGCAGAAAACAAAAAGGACTCCAATGGTACAGTATGTAATAGTAAAGGATATAATATGTATAGTAATAGAACTACTCACAGTATCCAGAGCTTAAATACAGCTCTGGTATGAAGTGGAACAATTCCCACTCAAGGATATATGAAGCTCCTCTCGTATTCTTCAGTGAGGTAATTCAATAGAGTAGTCCAGCTTGGGATAAAAGGAGATAAAACATATAGTGTTCCTGGTATAAACAAAATAAAATATACTCACGGTATATTGAGCAGACGCACTGCTCGATGAGTAGCGTGTGGGTGGTACAATCCCCACCTAGGGATTCTTGGTGCTTCGTTATAGACGATAAAACAGTGGTAGCCAGGTCAGGATAAAAATAACATAAAAATATAAATAATAAAAGTACCAAAATAAGGGTAATATAATACTATAGCGAAAAGGAATGTGGCAACGGTATAGAAAATAACCAAAAATTCCTTTATTAACACTTGGAAAATTATAAAAAGTTATAAAGAAGTTCCTAGACGTGTTTCGCCACAACTGGCTTCATCAAGTAGAAATTTATAGGAAAAAACAGACCTGACAGATACCACTTATATAAGAAACATATAATTACATAGGTAAATTGAAATTCCCGCCAAAATGACATCATCAGCGTCATAGGTGGGGGTATAATACACTAAAATATAGAAAACCGTAATGAGAGTACATATAAATTTTGGGCATGGGTATAGGGGGTTATACATAACATATTTATTAAGAAACGAAGCATATAAGTGTATAAAAATAGGATCGGTAACTTCCGACATCAGACATTTTTTTTATTGGGTAGCCCACAAAATATTGGGACATATGTAGCGGATTGTATTAAGGCTGTCCTTAGGAATTCGTACTGAAAATGTATTCGTGTAATTGTTTCCCTGTATGTCTGTAAAGTGTATGTAGTTTCGTATGATTGTTCGGTAGTTTCATACGAATGAAACTACCGAACCATCAGACCACCCCAGTGAGAAGTGTGCGCCTCGTTAAGCGTTCACACTCTGCAAACCGCAGCTTAATTGATACATTGTATGTGCCTGTGTGGTCGCCGTTCGGTATACGAACCACGTGCGGCGGCCATCTTATGCATGAAAATCTCAGCGATGTTTGGTCGTCGAGTGTCTGGAACTCAAATCGGACACTCAAACA